TGCTTCCCTCGTAACGCTGTCTGTTCTTTGTTGCATAAGAATATCAGTCTTATTCCTCTATATATCAACAGCTGCGTTCATTTCTTTTTTGCCTTTTTCTCTCTTCCGTCTGCATCTGCTATAACAGGGAACAGAACTGTGCTATGCTTAAGCGAAAAGAACTTAAAGCGTATTTTCTGGGCTTCTTCCATTAATGATTTGTATTCTTTTCAGGCAAAAAAGCACTTAGCTATAGCTAAATAAAAATATTAGTGTTTGATGTATCTCTTTCATTTGTTGTCTCTTTCATGTCAAAGAGTCATTAGTAAGAGTGACAGAAGAGATGGCTGGGAAACTTCCAATGAATTTTTTTTCACCCCAAAATGCTGATTCATTGAAAACAAAACATCACAGAAAGTCTGACTCTTGACCGTCTTCTGATAGAATAGATGGCAAGTTTCATAACTTCCTTGCCAGTTCTGGGGCGCATGGCCTTACCCCCTAGATACCAGTTTCTGTCATGCCACAAAAGGAATAACGATGGCAGTTCCCCAGACTGCGTCTACACAGAACGTCAACAGTAATTTGCTAACTAGATTCCCAGGATACCCCGCTGCAACAGCCTAATGAATCATTTGATCTAAGTATCAAACATGGGGTTTTGGTGTCTGGCAATGCTTGTGTCCTCAGCTCCCGGACTGCTCCCACAGCTCCCACCTGGCAGTTCCTCTGCGCAGGGACTGTTGTTGGGTTTACTGCTCAGGTACCTGCAGAGCCTTGCATGTATAAATTCAATCCACTGATGAGAGTGACTAAATTTAAGATGGACTGCTTTCTTAGCAGGAAGCCGGTCATCACAAAGTGCAAGACATAACTTCTAACGAAAGAGAAAACAGATTTCCAGCACCTTGAAATAATGATAAGATGTCAGATTCCCATCATAGATAAGACTAGAGATATAGTTTTAAGTTTGTCCCTTTGGAAAGGCTATACCTCTTTAGTAATTGCTAAGAGCAAAACGCATGTGGTGAAGAAACCCCTTTGCTAAGGCTGTGTGCTTTCCTTTCCTTTCAGGGCCTCCCCAAACTGCTTGTGTAAATAATTGGGAGCCCAGGATCAGTGTCAGGCCAAAGGGGTACTAGTTTCTGTTATAACGAAAATATTCTCATTACTTGTTCATATGTGGCCCTACGTTTTTCTTTTTTTGTTAACCTCTCCACCGTCAGCATGCAGGTGTAACGCTGCTCGTTACAGTTTGTAGCATTTCTTCTCAATGACACCACAAAGTTGTAACCTGGTCTTTGATAGAAGTTTTGTAAATGTAATCAACAATTACGAAAATTCTCTTCAGCTTTGTACCAGAAGTGTCCTTGCTCTTTTTTCATAGCTGGCTGTTTCAGGTGGCGTAACACTATTTAGGAGAGAATGGGATGTTGCCCGCTCAATCCCTTTTAATATCTGGCACTTCAATTACAGCATATACAAGACAGCAGAAAGAGGATTCTAATTTATTCTCATTTTCAGCTAAAAGCCAGCACATAAACTCGGCTTTTTTCTATGACAACAGGCATGGGTCAACATCAGTGCCACTGAATTATATATTTTATAAGCCTGCTGAGGCAAAAACCAGGACTGACGCCTGGTATAAATTGCCAGGCAATAACATAGGGTCGCCCTAAACTGCTGGGTCCTCTACTGAGGCCTCGAACAAAAAAAAAAAAACCACAGCTGGGGAGGGGTTGGTGGGGGGGGG